TTCGTTTGATCAGAATTTTTTTCGTGTTCACATTTTTGTTGCAAATCTTTTAGCATAGTTTACATATAAATCAATTCTTGATATAATATCCAATAAGTTTTTTGTTGTCCTTTTCATTATCAAGTTCTTCCTTAATCTCGGGAGGTGACCTTCAATCCAAATAAGTTAATTCAAATATTCTATACGTCAAACTACAAGATATTAAATTTTCCAATGTCAAATGTTCAATAATCTAAACCTGTCGAACCTGCCTGTCGCACAGTCATATCTCAAATTATAATCATATTTTTTTCTTCTCTTAATATATCTTCTACAATTTTTTCAGGAAGCATATTCAATGGTAAATATACACTATTATTTTTATTAGTTTCTATTTTTCAGGTGAACCTGAAATTGGAACAAGGCAATCTTGTTTACATACCTATCTGTTAAGGAAACTGGTATATCTGAATACTTAGTTTGATGAAGTTCAAAATATTTTTGTGATGCAATTCTTTGAGATAATGTTTGAAGTAATTCCATTTTCTATAACTGAAATTGCCTTACAAAATAGTTCTGATTATATTCAATTATTTTGGCGTCACATTTGGTGTTGCATTTGGTGCCACATTTTTTCTTGTGCTCATTTAATATAGAACATTTGACTCGATAATCGGTCAAAACTTCTTCATAATAATCAGCTCATTTTTAACAGTCATGAGGTATTTTCCCAAAGAAAAACGAGGTTAGGCATCGTATTTTTGATTGATTCAACAGTGCCTATTCTTGGACCAGTATATAATATCTTCATTCATATATTTTTTCACCTTTATCACACCATTGACCAAGTTGAATTTCTCTGTTTGTTATTGTTTATATTTGTTTCTATTTGCACTAAAAGCATGTCAGTTTTCTGAAATTCTTTATCCATAAGTAGTATATATATATGGACATAAAAAATTTCTCTGTCTTGATTTGTTTAAAGAAAGCGGGTTCATTTTCAATCTTATACAAAGCTTCTTTTTGTGTATATATAAAGAATCTGTTGTAATCCTTACTACTTTATTAGGATTAAATCTTTAGAGTATTTCAAGTGAATTAGCAAATGTATATATTGAGGCTGATACCCGTTATATTGTGTAAATATAAATTCAAGCAAACATTTCTTTCTACTTGCAAAAGTTCCAGCATTAATATAATTCTCGATCAAAAAATTGAGCTTACTGTCATCTATTACAAGTTGATAATTAAGTTGTTTTTTTATTTATTTTACCTTCTTATATAAATTTACTAATAATAACATAACTAATATTTGATTTTTTGTTAACTATACTTTTGTTAGTTGCATAAGAGAGATAATTGTTTCTCCAATGATTAAGTCTTTTAAATACCAGTTTTCAGAAAATATCATAAAATTACTATGAGTGCTTTATCTTCACCCTTCTTCATTTCAACATGCAAAATATTTTCTATACTAAAATTGTATTAAAAACAAATTTAAAAGATCTTACTGTACAAATTTAATAATATTGTCTGTGGCAATTTTTCATTTACCACAACTCAAACAAGATATGAATGAACAGATCTTTTAAATCATAATACACATTCTTCCTGATCTTGCATACTTATTTTTTCATATCAATATACATCATATCATTGATATGATAATTGGGTTTAGTGATACCTGTCGTAATTCAAAAAAGTGGCACAATCAATTTTTACATACTGTATGTATGGTGCAATTGAATTAAGTCATATGGTGCAATGGTTACAACTGGTTGCAACTCCTTAAAAATAATTATGACAGGTATACTTAATTGAGTTATACTTGCACGTAAAATAGGCCATCATAGTAAGTCAAAATATTTCAGGACCCAAAAGTTAAAACAGTTTTTCATATAAAGTAAAATTATTTTACTTAAAACCTGAAATTTTTTGATCACCCAGATTTCCATATATAAAATAGATATCTCAAAAATCTTAAAAAACCTCAAAAATCAAAAATCAATTTTGGGAACATGTATAATTTCAGCATCTACCATGTCTATATTCAGTACAGAATTATCATTTATTTTTTCATTGGCAGGTTTTAATTCCTTGTATCATTTATATAAAGCTTCAAGATATCTATTAATAACATTTCATATTGCATCTTCATTTTTTAATCCAGTTAGGTTGATATTAACAGAGAGTTGTAAAAAGGTCTGTATTTGTGGTTCTCTCTGATTAGGTTTTTTAATATAGATGATTCATCTTTCTTGATTTTAGCTTTTCATGAATGAATTATCAGGAAATTTTTTTAAATGTTGGATAGTGCTGATAAATAGTATGTTAACTAATGCTGATAATTGTTTCTATCGATAACTAAGTGTGTTAATTTACATTTTTAATTACAAACAATTATAAACAATTATAAATGGTACATTGACCAACACTAATTATCACAAACAATTAAAAAATAGTATGTTGGTCAATGCTAATTATATAAAACTAAAGATTGGCAAAAATCAGATTTCTATTCTAGCCATAGATATATCTTCTTCATCTTTGTTTAATAATAAACCTTTATTTAATAATAAATCTTAATCATTATTAAAATGAATAAATCTTAATCATTATTAAAATGATTATCTTTATTTATTAATCTTCATTTTTATTTAAAGATAATTCTAATTCATACTGGTTCTACTTTCAGCAAAGTTATCACTTTGAGGATGATTTATATTTTTGTCTATTTTCAATTTTATGTTGTTAAGTTCTTGTGATATAGAACTGAATATATATTTTTTACATTTAGAACAACTATAAATAACAAACTTTTTTTGGAATAATTGAGAATATTAAATTACTATTCGTAAAAAAATATAATGATGAAATATGATAAAAATCTATTTTTTAAAATAATAGTTTATTTTTAAATAATCAAAAAAAACAAGTATATTTAATTTTTACACACATTTATTCTTTTATCTTTCCATTTAATTATTTTTTATTCTCTCTCTCTCTTTTCTTTATTCTTTTATTACTATAATTTACACCAAAAAAATAATTGAAACTTATCAACCATAGTGATGAGAGATATAGAAAAAAGATGGATCAGTGTAATCTTAAAATTTTTTCTAAAGTTTATACTTGGTTTTAAGAAAATGTCATCCATCATATTAAATTGTTTTGTAATAGCAAAACCAATGCTTTTCCAATTAAAATTGATAAAATAGACCTAATTCATTTTCTTAAGGAAGCTATTGTAAAGAGATTGATGAGAACATCATAGCTTCAGATCTCATGTTATTATTCCCATATGCAATGAAAACAATAATCTAACCGTCAATAATATTAATGTAAAAGAGAAAATTGAAGAGGTCTAAGTGTCACCACTTTCTAAAATAAGTGAATATTTTCCCACCCAACTTGCTAAAAAAACATAGCCATATAATCAAAAACAAGGTTGATATCTTGTTCAAAAATACACATAACCAGTACAAGATGTATTAATAGATTATGTTAGAAAAGTAAGGTTTACCTTGCTAAACTAGTAATTCTTATCACTAACCTTTTTTTTGTCTTGGTATTGCACATATCAGAGGTCAAGCTAGGGAAGAGAAAGTTACCTTGTATTTTTTAATAGTTTGCTTATTTACATAAAATTTATGCCAGTATCGGTATTATCTAAAAAGAAATGATTGATGGATCAATCAATTCAATGGAAGCACAACCTGTTTACTTTGTGGATCCAGCTGATGATAACATTAATCAAATATTATTACAAAAAATAAAACATGGAAGCTTGCTAATGCTAAATGGTGTACGAACATCTGACAAGATAACACGAACATACTGACTCATAGAGCAACTATAAATTTGTTCTTTTCACCTTGGTATATCTTGATCATATACTTATTGTTTATTCTTCTTACTTTTCAATCAGCTTATCCTTCCTTCAAGTCGGTTATACTTAACAAAAACAAAAATGCCTTCTGATGTAGTTTAGGCCATGCTATACAAACATCGAATAGGATAACTATTCAATTATCAGATGATTTTTTGAATGCAAAGATTATTGTTCTTTTTTATTGATGAGTTCGATAAGCTTTACAATACAACTAATGAGATTTTTCATAATATTAAAAACACTTCTGATGGTTCCAATGGTTCTACAATCTTCTCAATTGTTGCAATTGGATATTTAGTAACAAATTGTTGAACTCATTTAATGTTGGAGAATCATTTAATAACCCATACTTCAATAAGAATTAGGTGTATAACCTGCTTAAAGAGTTTGCAAAGGGCAAAGATATTACAATAGACAAAGAGATAGTTGAAGGTATTTACACACAAACGAGTAAGTAGATATACAGATCAACCGAATCACAAAAATTTAAATCTTACTAATAACACATATTTGTAATCCATTTTTCAAAGGCATTCTGGTTTAGTTTGTCTTTGTGGACGTTCAATCAATGAATATCTACTTGAGAGACTTAATGATACTTGAAATCTTGATATTGAAACATGGAAAATTTTCACTATTAATCCATTGCAAGATACAATGCCACATTTAGAAAAATAGTCAAGGTACTTGGGAGTGATATGAATAGAACTGCTCTGGACCATCTTCGATCTCGATTTATGAGGTCTCTTGATTTTGTGCCATTAAATATGAATGCTGAGGAAGATCAAGCAAATTTTTTGGTGACTGAGGGGATGTTAAAAATGGATAAAATGAATGATAGTCGATTTAAGATGTCCTCAGTTTATATCGATGGAATAATTAGACAATATGTCATTCCTCCTAGAAAACACATATAATATAGAATTCAATAGGATCTTAACAAATTGAATTTCTGTAGAAGGTATCTTCACTGTTATTGGATAATGGCACTTTATTAAATCTTGGGATGATGGAGGTAATTACCGCAGATATAGTGACATTATCATTACAGCATCAGAACACCCAACAATTATTATTGAGCTTTTAACTACAGCAACACAAGAAGAGCTCAGGGGTGCATTTTCATGGGTACAGTGCATGACACTTAAAGTCTTTGAAAGGTGATGCAGAGGTAATACAAAAAAGGAAGCTGAAATTACGTAACCTAATAATCACGTATATTAATTTCTATTGGTTAATTACGAGATCATGTTTCTCTCGGTCACACGATTCGTCATAAATCGAAAAAGGGACAAAAAAATTAGGTACAAGAGATACTATATCACATTTATATTATTTATAAAATTGTGGTAATAATTTATTAATAATTTTTAATATCTGATATAAAATTCTAACTATCATCAAATCAATATTTATCTGTTCTGTTCTGTTATTCATTTTTTTTAATAATCACTAAAACACATCGAGTTGTATATCGAATTATGTTATGCTCTTAAATTACATAAATAATCTCAACCAAACACAAATTAACAAAACAAAGAGAAAAACAGGATATAAAAAAATAGAGAAAAAGTGTGTAGACAAAATAAGTAAAGTAAATAATATAATAAATAAGTATATGTATGATAACTTGAATTATTAAAATAAATGATTTGAAAAAAAAATGTAGCAAAAAAATAATACAAATAATAAAACCGAAGAATAAAAAATTTGTGAATTATTCTAGACTAATAATAATAATAATAAGATTAATAAGATTAATATAAAAAGAATAAAAATGTCTATTTATGATGGGGTGGTGGTACATGAATATATATATATATATATTATATTTCAAAAAAAAAAACCTACTCAAGTTCAACAAATTCGTAAACTTTTTCTTTTTTCTTCCTTTTTTTTTTATATTACGAATTTTCCAAAAATTTAAAAAAAAATATGTAAATTATTTGTTTAATTATTTGTATTATTTCGAGAATAAATAATAAATATATAAATAAATAAAAATAAGGAAATAAAAATCATTTGTTATTATTATTATTTCACATTGACATATCTGCCTATAGCTGCCACAATCTGTTCCTTATTCTTCTTATCATCCGAAAAGAAATAATAAGATTCTGTAGATTTAAAATCAACTTTAAATGAATTAAGTATTAATACTTCGGATTGAGCATCCGTTACGCCAGAAACTTGTCCATCGAGATCAAGTTTGGAAATTGGTAATTTATCGGTTTCATCTCGATAGAGGTAAAGTGTTTTCCCTCGAAGTTCAAAGAAACGACGTTTCCAGAACTTTTTTTGTGTAATTAGAAGTGATAATGATGAAAATGAAAAATTTAAGTATAAAATATAACAATACCATTATAAAATATAACATAAATGACTTTTTTTTTAAAAAAAAACAAATAATAATCAATATACATACATAAACACCTCCACCTTGAACTGTAATGTAACCTTTTAGCGTAACCTAATAATTGTTATATAAATTATTAATACGAGTAATAAATAAATAAATAAATAAATAAATAATAATAATAATGATTTAAATGCTCCAATTTTAAAAATTACCTTTCCACTCTTTTCCAATTCTGCAAATTTAGTTTTAAGTTCTTCATTACGCTTTCGATCAGCTTCTTCACGAGCTTTTCGTTCAACTTCAGCTTTAGCCCTTGCTTCTGCTGCTGCCTTTTCTTTTCTTTCTTGATCGGCAGCTTCGATTTTTCTTTTCTCTACTTCTTCCATAGCTCTCCTTTGAGCGGCTTCCCTAGCAACTTGTTCAGCTGCTCGTCTTTGTTCACGTTCTCCTTTTTCACGAGCTTGTCTTTCAGCTTCTTCAACTGCTGCTCGTCTTTCTGCTTCTTGTTGTTGTTGTTGTTGTTGCAGCTGTTGTTGTTGCTGTTGTTGTTGTTGTTGTTGTTGTTGTTGTGATGTTGGTGGTTCAACATCAACTTCAGGTTGAGGTGCGATTGATCTAGATAAATTAGTAGATGATGATGGTGATGGAGGAGTACTTGACGGTGTATTTCCTAAATTTTGAATACGTTTTGGGGTTTGAGGGGAAGGAGAAATTGGTCTCTCGGATGGTTCTCCAAGTTTCAAACGATTACGTACATTAGCTTCTGTAAGATCATTAGGAGTATTAGCGCTAATCTGAATTTGGTGCGCCTGCTTGACACACCATTAGAGAGAGCGTGGAAGGTGAGAGTTTTAGAAATAATAATGTAATGTATTATCAATTAAAATGGTTATTTGTAAGCCAAATTTTTATAAACTCCGAGACATACCTTAAATAAAGCACCAACAGCTCTTCCATGGACCAAGGCACGAGCTGTTTATTAAAATTAAATTTTAATTATTTTAATTATTTTAATTAAAGTTTTTTGTTAGGAAATAAATTATATCTTTTCTCAATATATCCTTTTATATAAAAATATTTTTTTATGAATTACCTCTTCGTACACCACTGTAAAATGTAATTTTTATTATAATAAAGTATTTTTTTAATTATTATAAAACTGAAAATGATAATAACATCGAATAATTTCTTATATAATTTACCTGACTGATTCGCTTACATAAGTTAATAAGACAAATCTATTTTCAATTCTTAAAAATCCATAAAGTACTTCTTCCTTGAGATTATTACGAAGTTCTTCAAGACCACCTGAACCTTTAGAATAAAGAGAAATTTTATCTCTTGTATCATGATATCCTAAAATGAGCCTAATAATAATAAAAATATTTATATTAGTAAAAGAATTCTTTTTTTTTTTTAAGGAATTGAAGTAATTAAGGAATTGAAGTAATTAGTAATTAAGTAATTAAAATGTAATAAATGTGTATATATATATAGTAATAATAATAATAATAATAAAAATTTATTCATCCAATTTCAAAATAATTAAATCTTAGGAGAAGAAAGAATAGAATGATATAACTGGAAAAAAGAATCCTAAACAAATCGGAATCGAGTATATAAATAAAAAAAATATAAATATATTAGGAATACACACCAATTAGTATCCTGCCCACTAGTGATCGCTTCATATGCTACTGAAATTTCGGGGTCAGTTAAATCGCAAGACATTGTATTTTATTAAATGGACTGATTATGAGTATGTTCACAGGCAACAAACTCTAAAACCGAGAAAAATTTGGAAGTGAAAAAAGGAAACGACTTAAAAAAAGCTAATAAGAGTTAAATAATCGAGTAAAGTGCACGAAAATATTGAAAAGGAGTGAAAGGATTATTTTTGTTCGTCAAGAGAAGAAACCGTGATGACGACTTTGTAAGTTTACTTTTTACAATTTTTGCGTATAAAAAAACTATAAAATAGTTTTGTGTAGTATTTTACTTTTTTTAAGTATTTATTATTTTTGTAATGCATGCATAAATAATATGTTTAGTGTAATATTGTCGAATATGTCCAATTATTCAATCTTCTCATTTCACAAAAAAAACAACTTTCCTAAATTGAATTTTACACAACATAATATAATATTCGCCAAATCAAAACAAAAAAAAAATTATACTTAATTTCTTACAAAAATTCAATTCCAACTATTTTATTATCTTGTGATACAGTAGAAGATAATGTCATAATGTGTATATTACGCATATCCACGAACGTATTCATTTTTCATTTTTCATTTTTTTTATGGATTTAAAAAATAAATTTGGGAACGTATAAAAAAAAAAAAACAAAATTAACGTAACCCATATATAATCAAAAATATATTAAAAATTATTATCTTGTTTATTTAAAATCACCTATTGCTATTGCTATATATGTAAAATAAGTAAATAATTCTATTCGTATATATATAATTATAAAAATTGCAATGTTAATTTAATTTGAATTTACAGGAATACTTTGAGGAAATGAAAATAAGTTATTAGGATCATATTTCTTTTTTATCTCTACCAATTTATCAAAATTTGATCCATAATATTTATGTTGCCAATCAATTAAATCTCTATCAATATAATTTTGATAACTAAATTGACTTGTATATTTTTTCTGGAATTCAACACCAAATGATTTTAAATTACTCAAACATAAATCAGATTGTCCTGTCAAAGTGCTTAATACTTGTATCCCATATAATGAATTTCGATGAACAAAAGCTGTAGCATCTAAATCTACCGAATTTATTAAACTACCAGCATATAAATCAAACATGGCAAGGGTAGAACATGGTTGTGTTTTAATAAAATTAACAATAAATTGAATACCATCTTGAGAGAGACCAGGTGAATTTACAAAGAATGTTTTTGCTTTGAAACTGTATGGATGATGTTGTGGATTTTTAACTTGTTCAGGATCAGTATATGACCATCTGACTACACTGTCAAAGAATGTTTCTTCATTATATTGAGGATTAGCATTTGTAGCTGATACAATATCTTGCATAGCTTCTTTAGCTTCTTGACTATTTCCGAGATATACACCAGTAAGTTGAAAGCCAGATTGTGAAAATTCTAAAGAGAATGTTACTTCTTTTTGAAGTTTTGCACCATATTGATGAATTGCATCAAAAATTGTTTGAATATTTGATAGATCATAATTAATACTAATCGATGTGACTTTATCGGGAACATTTGAAAGTTTAAATGTTAATGATGTAACTATTCCATAACTTCCACCCCCTGCGCCACGAAGGGCAAAGAATAAATCAGAATTTTGATCGTTATCCGCTGTAATCAATTGACCATTCGCATTGACTATTTGAATAGAAATTACATTATCAGAGGTAAGACCAAATTTTCTTCCTGAAAATCCAAAACCCTATTTATTTAAAATATTTATTTATTTATTTATTTTTGTTCATTTTTATTTATTCATCTTTCATCTTTATTTATTTTTCTTATTATTATTTATTTTTTTTTTTCTAAAAAAAAAAAAATGAAATTACTTACCCCCCCTAATGCATGACCAGCGATACCAACACTAGGACAAGTACCAGCAGGTATCAAAAATCCTTTTTCACTTAAGGCAAAATAAATTGGACCTAATCGCTGTCCAGCTCCAATAATAGCAGTTTTTTTATTGGAATCAATAAGAATTTGATTCAAATTGGTCACATCTACTACTATCACACCATCTTTACCACCTGTACCATAACTTTCATATGAATGTCCACCTGATCTCGCAGTAATCCCAATTCCCAAAGTTTTCGCACATTTTATGGAAGTTGCAACATCTCTTTCGTTATCGACGTAAATTATTACAGTTGGTTTATAAGTGACACGGGTATTTTCATTAATAATATCATTGGTATATTCTGAATTAGTGGTAAATACTTTTTTTCCAGAGATTGGTTTTAAACAAAATTGAAGGTCTCGTTTATCTTTCACTCTTTTATCGTAAATTTTAGATGCTAAAGTGTGATTTATTGTTAAAGTCAAACAACAAAATGACCAAAGAAACAAAAATAAATTTAATTTATTGTATAGCGGTAGTGATGCCATCATTATTTTATTTTATTTCTTACAATTCTTGATAATTCGAAAGTTTATTTTATATACGACAATAAATTATTATATATCCAAATTGGGATTTAATTTTTGATCAAAATATGGAAATTAAAAACAAGATCAAAAATGGAAAAATTTAATTACCCAAAAGCTAGTATGACGACTATTTTTAATTTTTCTAAAATAAATTTTTATATTTTATATCCCATTAAAATACAGATAACATATTATCGATAAAACCCTATAAATACAATAAAAAAAAAAAAAGAACCGAGATCAACAATTAATACAAGATACATTTTATTAATTAATTTAATTAATTTAATAACCTTCAGAAAGAACTTTTTTCATATAACTCCCTATAAATGCACCCCTGGGAGAGTGTGCATTTATGGAGAGAAATTATTAGTTCATCATGTGTTTGGGACCAAGTTAAGGGGTGCGCACTTATAGGTGATGTACTTATAGTGTGTTGAGTGTACTCTTAAATTATTTTATATAGAAATTTTTAATTAAGCTTGCGATTTCTATTAATGAAGCAAAACTAGTCAGCTTTAACCACTTGATTATTTTTAATCATTCGATTTTGTCGAAAAAATTGATTTCGTTATTAAAAAATTTATTTATCAAGTAATATACACTCACTGGTAAAAAGTATAACTGGTAAAAAGTATAGAGACACCTGACAATTTTTAAAAATAAATCATTTTAGTTATTCTATATAAAACTTTTATTA